CTCATAGGTGTGAATACCCGTGCGATCCGATTCTAGTGCCGACCCAAAAAAAGGGTCCTGTGTGTTTTTGGTGTGAATAGAGCCAAACCGGGGGCGGACTGACCATTTGGGTACTCGGGGCGCTGACCGAGGGCCCGGGGTCAGTAGGGGGCCCCATGAAATGCCCTGGTACCTTTTATAGGCATTTTTGGGTGTGCTTTGAGTGTGGGCAAGGAGACCGGGGCCCCATGATCCCCTACTACCCGGGGGCCCCATGATCCCCTATTACCCGGGGGCCCCATGATCCCCTACTACCCGGGGGCCCCATGAGTTGTCAGTCCGCCCCTGAGCCATACATAATGTACGCCTCCGATCGCACCGCACACAAATCGCATGAGATTCGCTCAGGAAGGCGGTGAGGTTTTTGTGCGATTTACATGTGATATTACATGTGATATACCGCACCGCATGTATGCGAATCCAGCCTAAGCCCGGGTTCAAACTGATGCGGTGCAGAATTCGCTGCGTTTTCAGTGCAAATTCATCAGAATCATGCGAACTGCTGCGGGTGTGTATGTTGCGTTAACAACGCCCCGAAAGCGGTCCGCAGAACGCGGTGCGAAGCACAGAATCGGATCGCATAGATGTGAATACCCGTGAGATCCAATTCTAGTGCGGGACGCGTGTCCTGCGTGTTTTTGGTGCAGTGCGATTAGAGCCATACATAATGTACGCCTTTGCACCGCGCAGAAATCACGTGATGCACCGAACCGCGTTAATCAGAATCGCACCCCGTTCATGTGACCCGCTGCGGGTGTGTATGTTAACAACGCCCCCCGAAAGCGATCCGCAAAACGCAGTGCGATGCGCAGAATCGGATCGCATAGATGTGAATACCCGTCTGATCCGATTCTAGTGCCAACCCAAAAAAGGTTCCTGCGCCTTGTTGGTGCGGGTGCAGGGTGATTAGAGCCATACAAAATGTACGACTCCGATCGCACCGCACACGAATCGCATGTGATCTGCAGGGAAGGCGGTGCGGTTTCTGTGCGATTCACATGCGATATTCCGCACCGCACATATGTGATCCGGGGCTCAGAGCAGGGTTGGGGTGCACATTCATCGTCACTTCTTTTACAGCGCCACCTATGGAGAATTGTGGGTACTGCCTGGGGGTTTTTTTTTTTTTGCGATTCCGCGGGAGTGCTCGGGACTTGTCACGCTCGGTATCGATCTACTCGACACGAGCCGAACTTTTATATTTTACTAAAAATCCAGCTATGAGATTAGTTCGTTTAAAATTCATTTTAGTGTTCTTTTTCCTGGAATTTTTAATTTTTTTTCTCTTTTATCAATTGCTTCGCCGCTGTCGTGCGACATAGAAAATTACAGCTTCCGCCATTTTATTCTGCAGAACTCGCCTTTCCGAAATATCATTGGAATGTTTGGGGAGTTTCCCCTCCCCCCCAGTGATCAGACTGTAACTTTGTAGATGGAGGAGGAGTCATTTCCTCAGTCTCCTCCCCCAGTGATCAGACTGTACATTGTAACTTTGTAGAAGGAGGAGGAGGCATTTCCTCAGTCTCCTCCCCCAGTGATCAGACTGTACATTGTAACTTTGTAGATGGAGGAGGAGTCATTTCCTCAGTCTCCCCTCCCCCAGTGATTAGACTGTACAGTGTAACTTTGCAGACAGAGGAGGAGTCATTTCCTCAGTCTCCTCCCCCAGTGATCAGACTGTACATTGTAACTTTGTAGAAGGAGGAGGCGTCATTTCCTCAGCCCCCCCTCCCCCAGTGATCAGACTGTACATTGTAACTTTGCAGCATTTTAACACACATCTCAGAAATGCATGTAATCTCAGCCTTGTGGTGCGAACATGATACATATATGTGTCGCCGCGGTTACCTGCGTTCATCCGGTGGGGAAAAAAACGCAGATCTGGTCAGACGCCTTTGAAAAGAAAAAGAAAAAAGGAACTATGCAGGAAGACGCACATAAATGCGCAGAAATGTGAAGAGTCGCGCGGTTTTATGTTGTATTTTTGATGTGCGTTATAGTGAAGGGGCCCTTATGAGTGTGAGGAAGCACCGAGACATAGAACACTGCCTGTGGGGACCCTGAGGGCCACACGTGGCCCCTTGGTGTGCAGGTTGGGCCCCGGGGCCGTGCAGGAATGATACATTTTGTATACAGGAACATCTTCTATGCCGTGGTCACATTTATTTCAGCTCAGTGGGAGGACGACCCCCCTGAGAAGTATTTCCCCCCCCCGCCGGGTGACACATGACAGGCAGCCTTGGATGTGCCCCCCCCCCCCCCCCCCCCCCCCCGTATATCAGGGTGAACCATGACAGGCGGCCTCGGACGTGCCCCCCCATGTATATCAGGGTGACACATGACAGGCGGTCTTGGATTCCCCTTCCCCCATATATCAGGGTGACACATGACAGGCGGCCTCGGACATGCCCCCCCCCCCGAATATCAGGGTGACACATGACAGGCGGCCTCGGACGTGCCCCCCCCCTGAATATCAGGGTGACACATGACAGGCGGCCTCGGACGTGCCCCCCCCCCGAATATCAGGGTGACACATGACAGGCGGCCTCGGACGTGCCCCCCCCTGTATATCAGGATGACACATGACAGGCGGCCTCGGACGTGCCCCCCCCTGTATATCAAGGGGGACACATGACAGGCGGCCTCGGAAGTGCCCCCTCCTGTATATCAGGGTGACAATGACAGGCGGTCTCAGACATGCCCCCCCTGTATATCAGGGTGACACATGACAGGTGGCCTCGGATGTGCCCCCCTCATATCAGGCATTGCCTGCGGGGATCCTGAGGGCCACACGTGGCCCCTTGGTGTGCAGGTTGGGCCCCGGGGCCGTGCAGGAATGACACATTCTGTATACAGGAACATCTTCTGTGCCGTGGTCACATTTATTTCCGCTCGGTGGGAGGACGACCCCCTGAGAAGTATTCCCCCCCCCCCCCCCCCGTATATCAGGGTGACACATGACAGGCGGTCTCGGATGTGCCCCCCCCCGTATATCAGGGTGACACATGACAGGCGGTCTCGGATGTGCCCCCCCCCCCGTATATCAGGGTGACACATGACAGGCGGTCTCGGATGTGCCCCCCCCCCGTATATCAGGGTGACACATGACAGGCGGTCTCAGACATGCCCCCCCACCGTATATCAGGGTGACACATGACAGGCGGGTCTCAGACATGCCCCCCCCCACCCCCCGACCTGCGATTTTCTAGTTGAATAATGAAATTCGATGTCCTCCTGACAAATGGCCGATCTCCGGGTAGTGGGGGACGCGGTCGCTGGCGGTTATGTGAATTGAATTTAGAAGATGACAGAACCTTTCAATTTCTCCTAATTGTGGCTGAGCGCCCCCTGACCCCCCCCCCCCCCCCCCACGGGGGTGAAAGGGTCTGTTTGCTTCTGTTTCGTCTCCCACGTGAGCTGCAAGCCAATATCCCAGCAACCTCTCCCCATCGCTCTACAAAGGGGGGGGGGCTGGTTCCCCTCCTCCGTCTCACACACCATATTGTATCCCCTTATTAATTGTCTCTATCTGCGAGTGTGATTGAATGACATTAGAGGAGTGCGGGGGGCGGTACAATACAGCTGCTCCCCCCCCCCCCCCGACCGAACGCCATTCACACCCTTCCCATGCCGGAGGGATGCCACAATACATGGCGGAAACTGGACCAAATTCCAATTATCGTCTTTACAGACAGAACCAGAACCAGAGATACCATCTGCTGAATACTGAGATATATTTTATATAGCTCTGACATATACCGCGGCGCTGTACACATCAGTCTGTGCACCAGAGGAGCTGACACTCTAATGTCCCCTCCCCCACAGTCACATCAATCTCTGTACCAGAGGAGCTTACACTCTAATGTCCCCTCCCCCACAGTTACATCAGTCTGTGCACCAGAGGAGCTGACACTCTAATGTCCCCTCCCCCACAGTCACATCAATCTCTGTACCAGAGGAGCTTACACTCCAATGTCCCCTCCCCCCACAGTCACATCAGTCTGTGCACCAGAGGAGCTGACACTCTAATGTCCCCTCCCCCACAGTCACATCAATCTCTGTACCAGAGGAGCTTACACTCTAATGTCCCCTCCCCCGCAGTCACATCAGTCTCTGTACCAGAGGAGCTTACACTCAATGTCCCCTCCCCCACAGTCACATCAATCTCTGTACCAGAGGAGCTTACACTCCAATGTCCCCTCCCCCACAGTCACATCAGTCTGTGCACCAGAGGAGCTGACACTCTAATGTCCCCTCCCCCCCCGCAGTCCCATCAGTCTGTGCACCAGAGGAGCTTACACTCCAATGTCCTCTCCCCCGCAGTCCCATCAGTCTCTGTACCAGAGGAGCTTACACTCCAATGTCCCCTCCCCCGCAGTCACATCAATCTCTGTACCAGAGGAGCTTACACTCTAATGTCCCCTCCCCCACAGTAACATCAGTTTGTACCAGAGGAGCTTACACTCTAATGTCCCCTCCCCCACAGTCCCATCAGTCTCTGTACCAGAGGATCCTATACTTGTAGGGCAATCATTAACCTAGACTGTGGCTTCTGAGGGCGGAGCACTAATGTCGGGCGATGAGGAAGGTGGAGGAGAAATCCATGGACTGCTTCTGGACGTCTGTCATAGGAGGATATACAGGCAGATCACTGACCTGCTTCTGAAAATGCTGGACGCCTGGCCGGTACGCTGGCCTGCTACATAGAGACATGATATCAATAGAAACATTCAGGTTACATTGTATCAAAAACAAGTCATCATAATGTCCGGCCCCATGATGGAGGCTGAAGGGGAAACCCGCAGGACAGAGTTCAACTCCACTGCAGATCATTACCCCTCTATAGCATGGATGTGCTGCACCTTGTCCTGGAGTTGGATATAAATATACACTATAGTGTGAAAAGTATTGGCCCAGATCATGTGATTCAGGTGTCCCAATCCCCTCCCAATCATGTGATTCAGGTGTTCCAATCCCCTCCCAATCATGTGATTCAGGTGTTCCAATCCCCTCCCAATCATGTGATTCCGGTGTTCCAATCCCCTCCCAATCATGTGATTCAGGTGTTCCAATCCCCTCCCAATCATGTGATTCAGGTGTTCCAATCCCCTCCATATCATGTGATTCCGGTGTTCCAATCCCCTCCCAATCATGTGATTCAGGTGTTCCAATCCCCTCCATATCATGTGATTCAGGTGTTCCAATCCCCTCCATATCATGTGATTCAGGTGCTCCAATCCCCTCCATGGACACAGGTGTATACAATCAAGCCCCTAGGCATGCAGACGGCTTCTACAAACATTGGTGAAAGAATGGGTCGCTCTCAGGAGCTCAGTGACTCCAAGCGTGGTCCCGTGATAGGTGGCCACCTGGGCAATAAGTCCATCCGTGACATTTCCTGGCTACTAAATATTCCACGCTCAACTGTTAGTGGGATTATAACAAAGTGGAAGCAACTGGGAACAACAGCCACTCAGCCACCAAGTGGTAGGCCACGTCACATGACAGGGCGGGGTCAGTGCATGCTGAAGCGCACAGTGCGCAGAAGTCGCCAACTGTCTGCAGAGTCAATAGCTAAAGACCTCCAAACTTGGTGTGGCCTTCAGATGAGCCCAACAACAGTGCGTAGAGAGCTTCATGGAATGGGTTTCCATGGCCGAGCAGCTGCATCCAAGCCTTCCATCACCAAGTGCAATGCAAAGCGTCGGATGCCGTGGTGTAAAGCACGCCGCCACTGGACTCTAGAGCAGGGGGAGACGTGTTCTCTGGAGTGACCAATCACACTTCTCTGTCTGGCAATCCGATGGACATGTCTGGGTTTGGCGGTGGCCAGGAGAACGGTACTTGCCTGACTACATTGTGCCAAGTGTAAAGTTTGGTGGAGGGGGGATTATGGTGTGGGGTTGTTTTTCAGGGGTTGGGTTTGGCCCCCTAGTTCCAGTGAAGGGAACTCTTAAGGCAACATTTTGTACAATTTCATGCACCCAACTTTGTGGGAGGAGTTTGGGGATGGCCCCTCCCTGTTCCAACATGACTGCCCCCCCAGTGCACAAAGCAAGGTCCATAAAGACATGGAGGAGCCAGTTTGGGGTGGAGGAACTTGACTGTCCTGCACAGAGTCCTGACCTCAACCCCATAGAACACCTTTGGGATGAATTAGAGCGGAGACTGCGAGCCAGGCCTCCTCCCCCGACATCAGTGCCTGACCTGACAAATGTGCTTCTGGAAGAATGGTCCAACCTTCCCATAGACACCCTCCTAAACCTTGTGGGGGGCCTTCCCAGAAGAGTTGAAGCTGTTATAGCTGCAAAGGGCGGGGCCAACTCAATATTGAACCCTACAGACCAAGACTGGGGGGGCCATTAAAGGTCATGTGTGTGGAAAGGGCGGGGCCAACTCAATATTGAACCCTACGGACTAAGACTGGGGGGCCATTAAAGGTCATGTGTGTGGAAAGGGCGGGGCCAACTCAATATTGAACCCTACGGACTAAGACTGGGGGGCCATTAAAGGTCATGTGTGTGGAAAGGGCGGGGCCAACTCAATATTGAACCCTACGGACTAAGACTGGGGGGTCATTAACGGTCATGTGTGTGGAAAGGGCGGGGCCAACTCAATATTGAACCCTACGGACTAAGACTGGGAGGGGCCATTAAAGGTCATGTGCTGGAAAGGCCGGGGCCAACTCAATATTGAACCCTACGGACTAAGACTGGGAGGGGCCCGATACTGGGGGCAATATAGTGTATATATATCATGAAATGTGAGCTTTGATATTTAATTTACTTAAAGCCCAACTTCAGGAATCAAAAAAAAAATCCCCTCCCCTTTGCCATTATTTGTAGGGGAGATTTATTTATTTCAGGTACTTATATAGCGCCGTCAATTTATGCAGCACTTTACATATATATTGTAAATTCACATCAGGCCCCGCCCCCGAGGAGCATACAATCTAAGGTCCCTAACTCACAGTCATACATACACATACTAGGGCCAATGTAAACAGGAGCCAATTCACCTCCCAGCATGTCTTTGGAGTTTGGGGGAAACCGGAGTACCTGGAGAAAATCCACGCAGGCACAGGGAGAACATGCAAACTCCAGGCAGGTGGTGCTGTGGTTGAGATTTGAACCAACAACTCTAGTGCTGCCAGGCGGAGGTGCTAAGCATTCAGCCACTGTGCTGCCACCGAAGAGGTTCCATCGCTTACATGTCTCCCGTCTCTAGCGCTCTTCTCTGTGGGCGGAGCTTCAATGTCATTGCATACAACACGGGACATTAAAGCAGAACATAACCCCGCCTCCACAATGTGGTGTTTTCCCCTCCGACCTGTTCTGCTGGGCAGGGGCGGACTGACCATTTGGGAACTCAGGCGCTGTCCGAGGGCCCGGGGTCAGTAGGGGGCCCCATGAGATGCCCCTGGTACCTTTCATAGGCTTTTTTGGGTGTGGTTTGAGTGTGGGCGAGGACACAGGGGCCCCAGGATCCCTTATTGCCCGGAGGCCCCATGAGTTGTCAGCCCACCCCTGCTGTTGGGTTATCTTTAATACACACACTCCCCCGAAGAGCAAACCCCAGCTCCAATCCACTGCTCGGGGGACATTGTCCGGGTCCTGCACCGCCATCTTGGTGCATTTTAGGCTGCTGCCCTGGATGACGCACCTGGCCCGTCCACCAAGCACTCTGCATGCAGGAGGATGCAGGACCAAGGACGCACCAATGGCGGTGGGGGGTGGGGCTGGAGGGAAAAAAAAGTACCAGAAACAAACAAGATTGCAGAGGGAATGTGGGGCGGGGGGGGGGGGGGGGGGGGTCTTGGCTTTGGCTCCCCACATGGAAGAAAAAATATATTTTAAAAATATTCTCCCCAAATATGTTGACATGGATGTGAAATGATACAATTTTGGCCGTATTCAGTATATTTCAAGGGCAAGATTTTTGGCCATGACTGTAGGTCGCAGTGGGCGGAGCTGAGGAGAGTGATCAGCGCCCTCCAGCTCAGTGACGTTGAGGATGGCTCTGATCTCTTTCCTCCTTCCTCTCCTGGAACTCCTCCAACTTCCAGGTGGCCTGGATGGGAAGGGGGGTCTTATAGAGTTGGGGTGCACAATAACTGGGGTACACAATGGTGGGGATTATGGGGTCAGGGGGGCACTATGGAAGGGATGAAAGGAGTGGAGGAGCACAATCAGGGGGGGTTGGGGGTGTGAAGTGGGGGGGTGCTCAATTAGGAAGGTGCATGGAGTGAGGGTGCAACCCATGGTGAGAAGAGGAAATGTCTATAATAATGATCCTAGCATCGGGGGGGGGGGGGGGGAGGTTGCTGTGCTGACTTTGGTTGTATATTTGGGGGGATGTGCTGTTAGTGGGGTGCACACTCTGTAAGGGTCATACAGTTGGAGGGTGTACAGTAAAGGGGGTGCACACTCTGTAAGGGTCATATAATTGGAGGGTGTTCAGTAAAGGGGGTGCACACTCTGTAAGGGTCATATGGTTGGAGGGTGTTCAGTAAAGGGGGTGCACACTCTGTAAGGGTCATATGGTTGGAGGGTGTACAGTAAAGGGGGTGCACACTCTGTAAGGGTCATATAATTGGAGGGTGTACAGTAAAGGGGGTGCACACTCTGTAAGGGTCAGATAATTGGAGGGTGTACAGTAAAGGGGGTGCACACTCTGTAAGGGTCAGATAATTGGAGGGTGTACAGTAAAGGGGGTGCACACTCTGTAAGGGTCATATGGTTGGAGGGTGTTCAGTAAAGGGGGTGCACACTCTGTAAGGGTCATGATTGGAGGGTGTTCAGTAAAGGGGGTGCACTCTGTAAGGGTCATGATTGGAGGGTGTTCAGTAAAGGGGGGTGCACACTCTGTAAGGGTCATATGGTTGGAGGGTGTTCAGTAAAGGGGGTGCACACTCTGTAAGGGTCATGATTGGAGGGTGTTCAGTAAAGGGGGTGCACACTCTGTAAGGGTCATATGGTTGGAGGGTGTTCAGTAAAGGGGGTGCACACTCTGTAAGGGTCATATGGTTGCAGGGTGTACAGTAAAGGGGGTGCACACTCTGTAAGGGTCATGATTGGAGGGTGTTCAGTAAAAGGGGGTGCACACTCTGTAAGGGTCATATGGTTGGAGGGTGTACAGTAAAGGGGGGTGCACACTCTGTAAGGGTCATATGGTTGGAGGGTGTACAGTAAAGGGGGTGCACACTCTGTAAGGGTCATATGGTTGGAGGGTGTTCAGTAAAGGGGGTGCACACTCTGTAAGGGTCATATGGTTGGAGGGTGTACAGTAAAGGGGGTGCACACTCTGTAAGGGTCATATAATTGGAGGGTGTACAGTAAAGGGGGTGCACACTCTGTAAGGGTCAGATAATTGGAGGGTGTACAGTAAAGGGGGTGCACACTCTGTAAGGGTCAGATAATTGGAGGGTGTACAGTAAGGGGGTGCACACTCTGTAAGGGTCATATGGTTGGAGGGTGTTCAGTAAAGGGGGTGCACACTCTGTAAGGGTCATGATTGGAGGGTGTTCAGTAAAGGGGGTGCACACTCTGTAAGGGTCATGATTGGAGGGTGTTCAGTAAAGGGGGTGCACACTCTGTAAGGGTCATATGGTTGGAGGGTGTTCAGTAAAGGGGGTGCACACTCTGTAAGGGTCATGATTGGAGGGTGTTCAGTAAAGGGGGTGCACACTCTGTAAGGGTCATATGGTTGGAGGGTGTTCAGTAAAGGGGGTGCACACTCTGTAAGGGTCATATGGTTGCAGGGTGTACAGTAAAGGGGGTGCACACTCTGTAAGGGTCATGATTGGAGGGTGTTCAGTAAAGGGGGTGCACACTCTGTAAGGGTCATATGGTTGGAGGGTGTACAGTAAAGGGGGTGCACACTCTGTAAGGGTCATATGGTTGGAGGGTGTACAGTAAAGGGGGTGCGCACTCTGTAAGGGTCATACAGTTGGAGGGTGTACAGTAAAGGGGGTGCACACTCTGTAAGGGTCATATAATTGGAGGGTGTACAGTAAAGGGGGTGCACACTCTGTAAGGGTCATATAATTGGAGGGTGCACAGTAAAGGGGGTGCGCACTCTGTAAGGGTCATATGGTTGGAGGGTGTTCAGTAAAGGGGTGCACACTCTGTAAGGGTCATATGGTTGCAGGGTGTACAGTAAAGGGGGTGCACACTCTGGGGAGGTTGGTACAGGTAGCGTAGAGGTAGGTGGGGCCCCACTACAAGTGGATGAGAAAGCCGGGCACACAAGGGCACAGATATCCCACCTATATATATATATTCTGATGGAAGGGAGTGCCACAAGTCTGCGGGTGCGGGGGTGTTAGGGGGTGTTATGGGGTGTTATGGGGTGTTAGGGGGTGTTTTGGGGTGTTAGGGGGTGTTAGGGGGTGCAATCCTTGCCCTGTCCTGAGCGCTGGTAACCCCGGATCCACCACTGGGTGCCCCCCATTGTATCTATCCTACCACCTCTGGAAGGGACAGTCTCCTCTATGGCCACAAACTGTTCGATCTCCTGTGGCTGGTCTGTGTGGGCCGAACGTCTGCAGAAATACAGACCGGAGGCGTCCAGAGTCGGTTTTTGCCGTTTACATGGAAGCGTCGGCCATCGATGCCTCCGGAGTGCCAACCCGACAGCTGCTTCTAAGGCTTGGTTCAGCTCTACGCGTTTCGGGAACGCACACAAAATCACGCGCTTTACTGTCATGCTCCGCACTTTACTGTCATGCTCCGCTCTTTACTGTCATGCTCCGCTCTTCACTGTCATGCTCCGCTCTTTACTGTCATGCTCCGCTCTTCACTGTCATGCTCCGCTCTTCACTGTCATGCTCCGCGCTTTACTGTCATGCTCCGCTCTTTACTGTCATGCTCCGCGCTTTACTGTCATGCTCCGCGCTTCACTGTCATGCTCCGCTCTTTACTGTCATGCTCCGCTCTTCACTGTCATGCTCCGCACTTTACTGTCATGCTCCGCTCTTTACTGTCATGCTCCGCTCTTTGCTGTCATGCTCCGCACTTTGCTGTCATGCTCCGCTCTTCGCTGTCATGCTCCGCTCTTTGCTGTCATGCTCCGCTCTTCGCTGTCATGCTCCGCGCTTTACTGTCATGCTCCGCTCTTCGCTGTCATGCTCCGCACTTTGCTGTCATGCTCCGCTCTTCGCTGTCATGCTCCGCTCTTCGCTGTCATGCTCCGCGCTTTACTGTCATGCTCCGCGCTTTACTGTCATGCTCCGCACTTTACGGTCATGCTCCGCTCTTTAGCAGAGGTGCTGCGGTGCCGTTAACGCTTCATGCGGTTTGGTGAGATTCCACAAAAGGGTCCGGGAGCTCCTCGTCTCTCCTGAGTGGGGCGGCCCATTGAAATGAACGAGTTGCCCTAAATGCACAGCATGGGGACTTGCGGGAAAAAACCCGGAACCAGGCATGTGCCGGGACACCAATGCTGCAACAAATTCATGAAGTGCTTGCGACACTTTTGGATCTGACAGCGACTCGGTAATATGGGGGGGGGGGGTCTGTATATCTGTAATATGCAATATGGGGGGTCTGTATATCTGTAATATGTAATATGAGGGGGGCCTTCCCACGCACATGACCTTTAATGGCCCCCCAGTCTTAGTCCATAGGGTTCAATATTGAGTTGGCCCCGCCCTTTCCACACACATGACCTTTAATGGCCCCTCCCAGTCTTAGTCCATAGGGTTCAATATTGAGTTGGCCCCACCCTTTCCACACACATGACCTTTAATTGCCCCCCAGTCTTAGTCCGTAGGGTTCAATATTGAGTTGGCCCCGCCCTTTCCACACACATGACCTTTAATGGCCCCCCAGTCTTAGGCCGTAGGGTTCAATATTGAGTTGGCCCCGCCCTTTCCACACACATGACCTTTAATGGCCCCTCCCAGTCTTAGTCCGTAGGGTTCAATATTGAGTTGGCCCCACCCTTTCCACACACATGACCTTTAATGGCCCCCCAGTCTTAGTCCGTAGGGTTCAATATTGAGTTGGCCCCGCCCTTTCCACACACATGACCTTTAATGGCCCCCCAGTCTTAGTCCGTAGGGTTCAATATCGAGTTGGCCCCGCCCTTTCCACACACATGACCTTTAATGGCCCCCCAGTCTTAGTCCGTAGGGTTCAATATTGAGTTGGCCCCGCCCTTTCCACACACATGACCTTTAATGGCCCCCCAGTCTTAGTCCGTAGGGTTCAATATTGAGTTGGCCCCGCCCTTTCCACACACATGACCTTTAATGGCCCCTCCCAGTCTTAGTCCGTAGGGTTCAATATTGAGTTGGCCCCGCCCTTTCCACACACATGACCTTTAATGGCCCCCCAGTCTTAGTCCGTAGGGTTCAATATTGAGTTGGCCCCGCCCTTTCCACACACATGACCTTTAATGGCCCCCAGTCTTAGTCCGTAGGGTTCAATATTGAGTTGGCCCCGCCCTTTCCACACACATGACCTTTAATGGCCCCCCAGTCTTAGTCCGTAGGGTTCAATATGGAGTTGGCTCCGCCCTTTGCAGCTATAACAGCTTCAGCTCTTCTGGGAAGGTTGGACCATTCTTCCAGAAGCACATTTGTCAGGTCAGGCACTGATGTCGGGGGAGGGGGCCTGGCTCGCAGTCTCCGCTCTAATTCATCCCAAAGGTGTTCTATGGGGTTGAGGTCAGGACTCTGTGCAGGACAGTCAAGTTCCTCCACCCCAAACTGGCTCCTCCATGTCTTTATGGACCTTGCTTTGTGCACTGGTGGGCAGTCATGTTGGACCAGGAAGGGGCCATCCCCAAACTCCTCCCACAAAGTTGGGAGCATGAAATTGTCCAAAATGTTACCTTAAGAGTTCCCTTCACTGGAACTAGGGGGCCAAGTCCAACCCCTGAAAAAAAACAACCCCCACACCAAAATCCCCCTCCACCAAACTTTACACTTGGCAGAATGCAGTCAGGCAAGTACAGTTCTCTTGGCCACCGCCGAACCCAGACACGTCCATCGGATGGCCAGACAGAGAAGTGTGATTGGTCACTCCAGAGAACACGTCTCCACTGCTCTAGAGTCCAGTGGCGGCGTGCTTTACACCACGGCATCCGACGCTTTGCATTGCACTTGGTGATGGAAGGCTTGGATGCAGCTGCTCGGCCATGGAAACCCATTCCATGAAGCTCTCTACGCACTGTTGTTGGGCTCATCTGAAGGCCACACCAAGTTTGGAGGTCTTTAGCTATTGACTCTGCAGACAGTTGGCGACTTCTGCGCACTGTGCGCTTCAGCATGCGCTGACCCCGCCCTGTCATGTGACGTGGCCTACCACTTGGTGGCTGAGTGGCTGTTGTTCCCAGTTGCTTCCACTTTGTTATAATCCCACTAACAGTTGAGCGTGGAATATTTAGTAGCCAGGAAATGTCACGGATGGACTTATTGCCCAGGTGACCACCTATCACGGGACCACGCTTGGAGCCACTGAGCTCCTGAGAGCGACCCATTCTTTCACCAATGTGTGTAGAAGCCGTCTGCATGTCTAGGGGCTTGATTGTATACACCTGTGTCCATGGAGGGGATGGGAACACCTGAATCACATGATATGGAGGGGATTGGAACACCTGAATCACATAATATGGAGGGGACTGGAACACCTGAATCACATGATATGGAGGGGATTGGAACACCTGAATCACATGATATGGAGGGGATTGGAACACCTGAATCACATGATATGGAGGGGATTGGAACACCTGAATCACATGACATGGAGGGGATTGGAACACCTGAATCACATGACATGGAGGGGATTGGAACACCTGAATCACATGATTGGGAGGGGATTGGAACACCTGAATCACATGATATGGAGGGGATTGGAACACCTGAATCACATGATTGGGAGGGGATTGGAACACCTGAATCACATGATATGGAGGGGATTGGAACACCTGAATCACATGATATGGAGGGGATTGGAACACCTGAATCACATGATATGGAGGGGATTGGAACACCTGAATCACATGATTGGGAGGGGATTGGAACACCTGAATCACATGATATGGAGGGGATTGGAACACCTGAATCACATGATATGGAGGGGATTGGAACACCTGAATCACATGATATGGAGGGGATTGGAACACCTGAATCACATGATATGGAGGGGATTGGAACACCTGAATCACATGATATGGAGTGGATTGCAACACCTGAATCACATGATATGAAGGGGATTGGAACACCTGAATCACATGATATGGAGGGGATTGGAACACCTGAATCACATGATTAGGAGGGGATTGGAACACCTGAATCACATGATTAGGAGGGGATTGGAACACCTGAATCACATGATATGGAGGGGATTGGGACACCTGAATCACATGATTGGGACACCTGAATCACATGATTGGGAGGGCGGGGCCAATACATTTGACAGTATAGAGTTGTTCTAAAATGCGCCACTTTTACCATTGAATACACCAAATTTAAAATAAAATATTTTGTATGTTACCAAAGTGGAGCTACTCGCCCTCCAGAGGATCCCCCCCCCTCGCCCTCCAGAGGATCGGGCCCTTGCCCTCCAGAGGATCCCCCCCTTCTAGGGGGGATAGGGGGGGCCCTTGCCCTCCAGAGGATCCCCCCCTTCTAGACCAAACAATTGTTTGTGATACGGCGCTGCGTTACTTTAACTGACAATTGCGCAGTTGTGCAACGCTGCACCCAAATTAAATTTACACCCAGCAACTTATAGCAAGACTGCAATGGGCATTCTGACACTGTGTGGAGCAGACTTGGTGTCACTGACATCCCCAGTGACACCAATACAGTGATCAGTACTAATAAAAAGCCCTGACGCTGTACTAATGGCACTGGGCAGGAAGAGGGTAACATCTGGGGAGATCAAAGGGTTAACTGTGTGCTGTGTGTGTTTCACTGTACGCATGCTGCTATGCAGAGCCATACAAAGCAGTGTGCAGGAGCTGAGAGGGGAGAGGTCTGTTTCATTTACAAACAGTTCTCCCCGCATCGGAGACACTCGGCAATCACTGGAATAATCACCATCCGGGACCCTGTGATGGACAGCCGTGGCCACGCCCCCTACCCGGATTTGGTGAAAGCGTCTCTGAAAGTAGCACAGCGTGCGCCAGATTCAAGCGCAGGTTCTACACGGGGAGGGGAATTTGGAGCCACGTTGAGGCCTCACACACGCAGGACGTCCCTCCTAGACTCCTCTCCTCCTGCAGGACAAAAAACAAACGCTTGATGCGTGAAAACTCGCGTTTAGGCGCATCGCACGTTTATTCCGATCATTTAAATGAATGAAATGCTCAAGCGGTGACCGCCCCCAGCGCTAACGGGCGTTCAGATGCATTTCAATGACTCAGAACATATTGGGGCCAGAGAGTCTGACGGGGAGCCAGGAAACCAGCATTCTTGTCATCAGGATGGCCCTTGGCATGGTGTCACTGGACTCGGCATGGTGTCTCTGGACTCGGTATGGTGTCACTGGACTCAGTATGGTGTCACTGGACTCGGCATGGTGTCTCTGGACTCGGCATGGTGTCTCTGGACTCGGCATGGTGTCTCTGGACTCGGCATGGTGTCTCTGGACTCGGCATGGTGTCACTGGACTCGGCATGGTGTCACTGGACTCGGCATGGTGTCTCTGGACTCGGCATGGTGTCACTGGACTCGGCATGGTGTCTCTGGACTCGGCATGGTGTCACTGGACTCGGCATGGTGTCACTGGACTCGGCATGGTGTCTCTGGACTCGGCATGGTGTCACTGGACTCGGCATGGTGTCACTGGACTCAGCATGGTGTTACTGAAATTAATGGAATCATCTATAGTCCCCCATCTTTATATCACAGCCTCCCCCCCCTTACATCAGAGTCCCCCCTTTTTCCTCACAGTCCTCTATTTGTAGCCACTCCCCTTCACAGCCCCCTTTTTATATCACAATAGGGCACTATTCCTCCACTGACACCAATGATGGGGCACTATTCCTGCCTCTGACACCAATGATGGGGCACTATTCCTCCCACTGACACCAATGATGGGGCACTATTCCTCCCACTGACACCAATGACGGGGCGCTATTCCTCCCACTGACACCAATGACGGGGCGCTATTCCTCCCACTGACACCAATGACGGGGCGCTATTCCTCCCACTGACACCAATGACGGGGCGCTATTCCTCCCACTGACACCAATGACGGGGCGCTATTCCTCCCACTGACACCAATGATGGGGCGCTATTCCTCCCACTGACACCAATGACGGGGCGCTATTCCTCCCACTGACACCAATGATGGGGCGCTATTCCTCCCACTGACACCAACGATGGGGCGCTATTCCTCCCACTGACACCAACGATAGGGCACTATTCCTCCCACTGACACCAACGATGGGGCACTATTCCTCCCACTGACACCAATGATGGGGCACTATTCCTCCCACTGACACCAATGATGGGGCGCTATTCCTCCCACTGACACCAATGACGGGGCGCTATTCCTCCCACTGACACCAATGATGGGGCGCTATTCCTCCCACTGACACCAATGATGGGGCGCTATTCCTCCCACTGACACCAATGATGGGGCGCTATTCCCTCCACTGACACCGATGATGGGGCGCTATTCCTCCCTCTGACACCAATGATGGAGCACTATTCCTCCCACTGACACCAGTGATGGGGCACTATTCCTCCCACTGACACCAATGATGGGGCACTATTCCTCCCACTGACACCAATGATGGGGCACTATTCCTCCCACTGACACCAATGATGGGGCGCTATTCCCTCCACTGACACCGATGAGGGGGGCGCTATTCCTCCCTCTGACACCAATGATGGAGCACTATTCCTCCCACTGACACCAGTGATGGGGCACTATTCCTCCCACTGACACCAGTGACGGGGCGCTATTCCTCCCACTGACACCAATGACGGGGCGCTATTCCTCCCACTGACACCAATGACGGGGCGCTATTCCTCCCACTGACACCAATGACGGGGCGCTATTCCTCCCACTGACACCAATGATGGGGCGCTATTCCTCCCACTGACACCAATGATGGGGCGCTATTCCTCCCACTGACACCAATGATGGGGCGCTATTCCTCCCACTGACACCAATGATGGGGCGCTATTCCCTCCACTGACACCGACGATGGGGCGTTATTCCTCCCTCTGACACCAACGATGGAGCGCTATTCCTCCCACTGACACCAACGATGGAGCACTATTCCTCCCACTGACACCAACGATGGAGCACTATTCCTCCCACTGACACCAACGATAGGGCACTATTCCTCCCACTGACACCAACGATGGGGCACTATTCCTCCCACTGACACCAACGATGGGGCACTATTCCTCCCACTGACACCAACGATGGGGCACTATTCCTCCACTGACACCAACGATGGGGCACTATTCCTCCCACTGACACCAACGATGGGGCACTATTCCTCCCACTGATACCAATGATGGGGCACTATTCCTCCCACTGACACCAATGATGGGGCACTATTCCTCCCACTGACACCAATGATGGGGCGCTATTCCTCCCACTGACACCAATGATGGGGCACTATTCCTCCCACTGACACCAATGACGGGGCGCTGTTCCTCCCACTGACACCAATGACGGGGCACTATTCCTCCCACTGACACCAATGATGGGGCACTATTCCTCCCACTGACACCAATGACGGGGCGCTGTTCCTCCCACTGACACCAATGACGGGGCACTATTCCTCCCACTGACACCAATGACGGGGGCACTATTCCTCCCACTGACACCAATGATGGGGCGCTATTCCTCCCACTGACACCAATGATGGGGCGCTATTCCTCCCACTGACACCAATGACGGGGCGCTATTCCTCCCACTGACACCAATGACGGGGCGCTATTCCTCCCACTGACACCAATGACGGGGCGCTATTCCTCCCACTGACACCAATGACGGGGCGCTATTCCTCCCACTGACACCAACGATGGGGCACTATTCCTCCCACTGACACCAACGATGGGGCACTATTCCTCCACTGACACCAACGATGGGGCACTATTCCTCCCACTGACACCAATGATGGGGCACTATTCCTCCCACTGATACCAATGATGGGGCACTATTCCTCCCACTGACACCAATGACGGGGCGCTATTCCTCCCACTGACACCAATGACGGGGCGCTATTCCTCCCACTGACACCAATGACGGGGCGCTATTCCTCCCACTGACACCAATGACGGGGCGCTATTCCTCCCACTGACACCAATGACGGGGCGCTATTCCTCCCACTGACACCAATGACGGGGCGCTATTCCTCCCACTGACACCAATGATGGGGCGCTATTCCTCCCACTGACACCAATGATGGGGCGCTATTCCCTCCACTGACACCGATGATGGGGCGCTATTCCTCCCTCTGACACCAATGATGGAGCACTATTCCTCCCACTGACACCAGTGATGGGGCACTATTCCTCCCACTGACACCAATGATGGGGCACTATTCCTCCCACTGACACCAATGATGGGGCACTATTCCTCCCACTGACACCAATGATGGGGCGCTATTCCCTCCACTGACACCAATGATGGGGCGCTATTCCTCCCACTGACACCAATGATGGGGCACTTTCTACTCCCACTAGCCCTTTGTTTCAAATGTTTGGAGACCCCGGGTCTGGATGAATGGCGGGAGCTTCCCAACGTCTGGTTGCTAGGACCGCTCCACGTTGTAGCAACAAGCCGCGTGTTACCTCCCATACAGATCGGTTGCACCTCCCGCTCTCTGCCCTGCGGTGATGATGACAGTGGGCGTGTACACAGACAGCCATGGTGGTCCGGTCAGGACTGTCGCGCGGTCCGGGTCTGGACCACGGTCCACCATGTGGTGATGCCGGCTACAGAGGCTTGTGCCTCCTTCCTCTGTGAAGACCCCACACATTTCCTTCCTGGAATTATGGAACATGGAGTCACCGTGCCCTGTGAGCAGGCGCTGCCGTGTCACCCATTTCACAGAGCCCGCCCTCTGAGGGGAGGAGTTTCAGGAGGCGTAGTCAGTACAGGAATCAGCAAGAGACCATGGGATACATAGTCCTTGGCAATGGAGGAGAAGCTGCAAAGCATGCTGGGATCCGGGAGGGGTGTGGGAAGAGGCGGCCAGCAGACAGGCAGCGCTCACAGCATGGAAGGAGAATTTTCCGGAATCAGATTGTCGCTGTTATTACAGATCTGATTCTAGAAAATGGGTTCCTGCTGTTGGAAGGAGATCTCCTTTAAGGCCTTGTTCACACATGGGGTACCCGGTGCCTCTTGGGGGGCCGTGTGCTACCAGCATGGAGAAGTACAGGTGTTCTGTACCCC